AGGTTGTGTTTACTCGCACACTGTGCACCTAAATCATTTTCCCGGTTCGCACATATATATATATATATATATATATATATATATTTTTAGGGGCAAATGTGAATGAAATGCTCCCACAGTAGAGCACTTCTGCCCGTGAAACTTCGCCACGCCGGAAATCCAGCGCTATGTCGGAGAACTTTAACCCCTGCCTTAAGGAACCAATCCCATCAACCTGCAGGGTAGGGCTTTACATAACGGTAGCAAAATGAAGGGTGTCAGAGGAGAAGCAGGTGTAACTCAATCAGTATTTTGCAAGTTAAATTTCACTTTCACTTGAACTTGTTAGAGCTGGTTTATCGGGAACAAAGTTGATCTACCATTAGCAACACATGAATAGCTTTTTATAACAAAGTCAAGCCAAAGGCTCAAGTCATCTATTTCTGTTTACAAGCACCGATTTTTGTGTTTGATGAGCAGAGTCAACGGTGAGCCGGTACACTCATGCTACAGGTGAGGGTGGGGTCAATTTGCATATTCATCCATGCATGCATTCTAAATGAGGCAAACATGTAGAACTACACTTCAGCAATTACAAGGCATGAAGGAAAAACTTCTAAATATGTAATTATGATGAACAGAGACATGTTGATTAGGGGTTCAATCAATGTCCACAGAGGAACTTTAATGTTATTATTTATACTGTCGGAACAGTCTAATCTGTCACTCTCTTGATTCTGGTCTTTCCATGGTATTTGTTGACAATACAGACTCACTCTCAAAGGCACATTTCAGTTTAAAGTTCTGATGGAGCTGATAGCTACTGAATAAGTTAGATTTCCTCCCCTAAAACAATCACACCATGAGCTCTGTTTCCTCTATGACTTGGCTGCTGCAGCATGAGACGGTACCAGCATCACTTTTTGGAAGAGTGATGAATGATATGCAAATTTTGCAAGACGGGATACAACCTCTTGCTGTTTGTAGAAAAAAAATAACCCAAATTTACATGATAATTTGCTGACGTGTTTTGCAAATTGCATAAAACAGTTTCTGCAGCGCACACAAGGACACGCTAATAATCAGGCACGTGCTGCACATACCTAAGTCTGAGACAAAAACCTGCACAATCACACACACCAAAGAATGAATGTACTCATGCACAGCTCCTGCACCTTGACCTTGAGTCGTACCTGCACAGAGTTAAATGAAGTTGAGACTGCACACACCACAGGTTGGAGGCACAGTAAATCACAGCAGAATTTAAATGGCAGAAAAGCTGCAAGCAGAAATCTTAATCCCTGAAAGTCAACCATGCATACACAAACTAGATGGCTGAATGCCTAACAAGCAAGAAGCCTTGAGAACTGGCAGGGCTTGTGTGTGCCCAGATGGTGGGGTGGGGTTGCTCTCGGCCGAGGGGTCACCACGACCCCCCATGATTCACCTCAACCCCCCGCAGATCCAAAAACTGGCAGAGAGATTGACAGCCGCACCAGATTACTGACACCACTAGACAGCAGCGCTAATATGATGTGATTACAGTCTACATTAACATCGTTTAATTTAATCAGCTTTATCGCTGACTGAGCGTAACCATGGTAACCAGGCGTAACGGAATGCGACGTGTCTGGAGGGTTCATTTTTAAAACTATCGTGAACTGGCACCAGTTCAATTCATCATTTCTTATCGTGATTGTGTGCAAACAGTCAACACACTCCTGCAGATGGTTTACCTTGATCAGCAGACGGATTGTTCCTGAGGCCTTGTGGGAAATGTAGTACCAGAAGGAGAGCTTGCAGATGGTGCTCGACTCTTTCCAAACAGAGCTCCTAATATGAGCCTTATCACCTTTCAGTCCCACCGGTGTAGCTTCCAGAAAGACGAAATGACCTAACGAGAAAAGACAGAAGAGAAGTGATGAAGGAGAAGGGCAGCGATGAGGGAGATGAGGCAAAGAGGAATTGATAACTATCTCCGTGTGAGCAGCCAGTGACAAATTACAGCAAGGTCACGAACAGTGTGGTCGGGGAGTGAGGGCTGGGGCTCGCAGAGTAATCTCTGACACATCTTCTAATATCTCACTGCCTTTCGACACCCGCAGACCACTCTTAAAGTTTCTCATTCAAGCCAAGCTCATATAGAAAAGAGGAAACCTGGGAACGTGGCCGAATATAAAAGCAAAGGGAGTGCATCTGTGCCATCATGTTTCTTTTTCTCTGCAAATATGTGCACTATTAATAGCTTTTCTATATTCTGTTTGCTTTTTATCATTATATCCCTTTGTGTTGAGCATTAAAAACCAAACAAGCTTAATAATAAAATTAAAATCCATCAAAGCTTCATGAAATCAAACACTATTTATGGTCTGTAAGGTTATGTGTACTTATTTAATTTAGTTTAATTTAGGTTTTTTTTTTTGTCAGTTATTATTTCCAGGTTTTGGTTTTTTTTTTGTTACTTACCAGTGTCACTCTTTTCAGATACCTCACTTCCTGCCCTTGTGTGTTTCCGTCTGTGTAATTACCTCCGCTACCCTGATTAGTTTCACCTGTCCCTCATTACTAACCCTGCCTGCCTGGTGTATTTAGTCTGTCATCCCCTTTGTCTGAGCCAGTTGCTCTCCCCTCTTCTAGTGAGCATTCCAGCATTTATTCCTTGAGTGTTCCAAGATTTATTCTACCTATCTTCTGTATTTTGGCTCGGCCCTATTACCTAGTGATTTTGTAAATCTCTGCCTTGATTTTTTGGACTCACTCCTATGCACTGAAATCTGATTCCTCCAACTAAAGACTTTAACTTCTCAGTATTTTCAAGTCGTGTTTCTGAGTCCCTCCTCGTTGTTGCCTGTACTTCCTGATAGGCAGAAGAAAGTGTGAATATGTGGTCTTTTCCATCTTTTACTGTTATGTTAATACTGGAGTTGGTTTATTGAGATAAGCAGTAGGTGGCGCTAATTCTTATTCATTGCACTAGTGCAGAAGAAGAGTCCTTGGCGAGACGAAATAATTAAAAAAGCACCAGTCAAACCTCAAACAAAGGAAAAAATGTCTGGTAATCTGGTAAGTAGGGCTGGGTATTGTTTAGAAAGTTATGATACCAGTACCAATATCAGTCACCTTGAGGTGATACTGGTACTGAAAGAGAACATAATTTGACACTTTTTTTGTGGACTTCACCACACCAGACTCTATGGGTTGTGGCTGCTGCGGTAATTATCAAATCACGTTTGAACGCTTGTGGTCAATGGCGTATAGTAGTTAGGATGGGCCCCAGTGCACACTGTTAGGATGGGCCCCAGTGCCAGATTTTGTGTCAAAACAGCTACCATATATTTTATAGTATCATCACATGATAAAATACAGACTCGGCATTCGAAAACCTCAACATACAGATTACCAATCATCATTGCAAATCGGTATATGACAAAAATACCAAATAAAATAAGAAATGATTCATTAAATGGATTTGTTTAATAGTTTACAAAGTAGTACAACTGTACTGTCTATATTTACGCCCCTGTTTGTGGTGATTGGCTGTGAATAAAAAAAAATAACTCTATATCTGTGTATAAAAAGAATTAAATGCACTGGTATCGTATGACTGAAAAAGTTTCAATACTACTTGGTACTGGGGCATTTGGTACCTTAAAGTTATCAAGCCAGCCCTGATAATAATGGAGTTTTGAGCAGCTAATATTACAGCTATGTACTCTTGGAGGAGTTCTAGTAACAGCCCTGTGTGCACACATAAGCATAATAAAGCCACCCAGAGACGAGAAAGAGAACTTGCAGTGGCCCATGAGATGATGGTACGTCATGACTACATTATAATTTATTTGCTGAATCTGTTTCCATTGCACTTGTTAACATTCACCCTTTATTGACACACTAAATTTTCCAACTCCCCCAGGCGTAAAAACTTTTTGCGTTATTTGAGATGTTTTTAAAAACTTTTTCTGTTTCCTCTCAAGTTTAAAATGCACATAAAATGAGTTGGATGGAAATGCACCTTTTGACATCAGCCTCACTGTTTACTTTCACACAGATGTATCAGAGCTGTATCGTTAACCTAAAGATGCTCAGGAGAAGCGCCTCCATAAGCTGTATGTGCAAATGTACATATGTGTTTGTTTATTCATGTGTACGGCTGTTTGCCATGCAGGCTGTGTAATGGGATTACAGCCCTAAAAGCCCTGCATCAATCACCTGAAGACTGCTGCTGTACGTTCACGTACGGGGAAGTAGCTCATTGATTTTGTCATGAATTAAACATTGTGGAAAGCTACCACAGCATTTTGGGTTTAACAGGTGGAAATTTGAAAGTCAGCTCAGTTTCATGCACCCCAATTATACAAAACCACCCAGAAGTGAAGGCACACTTGTTCAATTATACAATGGTAATTCAAAGAGGAGGCTAGAACAAAAAGGATGTTCTTTTTTAATGAAATACTTAGAGTTAACAAAACTCTTAGATTAGCTGATGGTATATGTGCGTGAACGACGCACAAAATGCATGAAGGAAGATTGTGAACACATACCTCTATCATCCATCAACGTGTGATCATATGGAGGCCGTATGCTTTTCACAGACCCCGTCCCCAGAGTCCAGTCAAAATTATCAGCCAGGGAGCTCTTCCAGCCACAGCGCCCATTTTCAAAGGAGCAAGAAGTCCCACATTCCTTTTCATCAGTGCCATCGCCACAGTCGTCTGTGAAGTCACAGCTCTGCCCCGGAGTAAAACATCGGCCATTTTCACAAGGCAGGAGGCCTGAAGGACAGGAGCCTGGACATAAGACACATAAAAAAGTGTTCAGACTCCTCGGGCCCAGTTTAAATGAGGCATGATTTGAAGTGCATGGCAAAAGTACATTTAGGGCAAGTCCAAGTCCAATTTTGCTAGTTAAATGGCCCATACCTGAGGGTTGTATTTCATCTCTTTATCAACATAGGTGTGTTTTGGGCGCAACATTAATTCAACCAGAATGTCTACAACCAGGTGTGCCTACACCTGGGGCATTGCTATGTACATGGCAGATAGCAGAAAACTGCTCACATCTCCAATTTGTCTGAGAGTAATGCATTAAGAGCAGTACAGTTACAACAGTAGGGGTGGGCGATATGGCCCAAAATAATATCAATTATAGCTGCTGCGCAGCGATGGGTCCGGGCATTTTTAGGCAATTCTGAGCAACAAGCAGAAGAATTGGAAGACATTTAGGAATTTAGCAACACAATCTGCCTTTTACATCAGCTGAGACTTGAACTCACAACCTCTGAGACTAAGAATTGATTTCTATCTCACTGAGCTAATTAGTCAGTGACAATTAATGTGTAGCTTCACAAATTGACTAAGCCAGACGTGCAGGTTTAGCAGCCGTCCGTGCATGGAAAAAAATCAGTTATCGAAACAAAAATCTGAAAATACACATATTGCATCTAGACAGCATGGAGATGTTGGTAATTTGTTTGTAACAATGATTAATTTGCTCCATAAGTGAAAAACTCCGGTTGTTCACATTTGAGCAAAATTCAAAATGCTGTCAAAAATTCAGTTTTTGAGATAAAATTCTGAAATTTGCCAAACATCATCTGCCATGACCCTAGAATTTTGTCATTTTTTCATGAAAATTGAAGATTTATTTAGCAAGAATTTGCATGTATATGTTTACAGTACCATTTACAGTCAAACATTTTGATGCACTGTAGGCTCAATTTTTGATCAATCAAAAATCTGAGAAACTTAGTTTTTGTAGGACAGTCTGAAGATGCTATGTAGCAAGTTTGGTGTCAATTGAGCAAAAATTGTGGGAGGAGATAGATTTAAGAAGTTTTACAGTTTTTGAAAAAAACAGTGATGAACTTCAAATTTTTAATAGGTTTAAATGTTCTTCGGGGCTACAGTTTGATGAAAGTTGTGAAGTTGTAGCACGTATGGTTGATTTGTTATGAATTTTCAAAGTTTTGAACTTTAGACGCTTGCTGTAGCGCCACCATCAGGACTAATGGCTTGAGTTTACAGCTGAGGATATCTGGCATGAGGCTGGACCTTTGTGCAAAGTTTGATAAGTTTTCACCCATGGAAAGTAGGATTTCCTCAGAAGAAGAAAGAAGAAGAAGAAGAATACCTTGGATTATAATAGTGTCCTGGCAGCTTAGCTGCCTGGACACTATTATAATCTTATAATATAAATCTATAATCTTATAATATAAATCTACCACAAATTACACAAACAGCTCCCAAATATAAAAAATGTACCCTGGGATCTATATATATAAATCAACAGGTGATTTCCTTCTTTTAGCAAAATCCTAAATGATTGTTTTTTTTCTTTCCACCTGGACCTTTATGCTCTGCCTTTTCTCCTCTAACCATCACGCTGTAACCTGTGACATGCTGTCATGATACCAGAACTATTGCACATTCACATATATGTAGTTTTTGTCGAGCTGCGAGTGTCGAGTAGGTTTACATTACCAAATGTTTAATCACTTGACGACACCGACTCGTGTGTGCGCACGTCAAGAGAGGAGAGGGAGAGACGCTGTGCTGCTGCCTCTGAGCGGTAACTCACTAAAAGAGTCTGAGAAGTCCGGGGCTTTTCATAAAACATTCAGGATGCCACAGTTTATTCCACACTACTGAAGCTGCTCCTCCACCACCGTGCAGTCACTAATAATTTCGCCTTCAGCCATGCTTGTTGTTGTGGTGGGTATGTCAATGTGCCTACTGCAACTCCAGAAAGCTTATTAAAGCAACCAAACAACAAAATGTCTGATCAGTGTGATTACTGTGTATTTCTCTCACAGAACAAACAGAGGCCGCCCTTTAAACAGCAGGAAAATACTGTGCCATTTTAACTTTAGACCAGGATTTTGTTGGTCAGTGGTGCAGTCACTTTCTGCTGCCTTCAAAATAGCAATGCGCTAACAATGCACCTGACCACACCTCATTTTAGGACCTGCACACCTATGGGCACACAGTTGGGCACAAGTACATTTGCTACTTACACAACGGGGACACTGGCCATGAAAATGACAACTGTATTGGTCTGAAACTACCCTCGTTTTTGTGTCCTAACAACAGTCTGTAGCTGCACATGCTGTTATATGTAAAGTAATAGGAGTCCCATCGAGGACAAGGAAGGGTGACAGCGTGTCTCGTTCTGGTGGCACGCATGCCGACACATGTTCACGTGTTATTGTGAAGAGAGACTTAGAAAGAGGGAAATGGGCTTATTCATTTTCTTGCTGAGAGTTAATGAGAAGACTGATACCACTCTCATGTCTGTATGGTAAATATGAGGCTAGTGTCAGCTAACGGGGAAAACGGCTAGCCTGGCTCCATCCAAAGGTAGCAAATCCACCCACTAGCTCCTTTAAAGCTGCTGGCTGTAGCTTCACATTTAGAGTAAGGACATGAAAGTGGTATCAATCTCCTCATCTAAGCAAATAAGCATGGTTCCCAAAATGTCAAACTGTTCCTCTAAAATTTGAAACTGCAATAAAAATTCAGCACACTCTTTTTTTCCCTGTCTACTAGATGCTTCACCAGATTTAACAGCACCACAGGAGCTTAGTATTAACTCCAGGGCATAAGAAGTCAACTCAGGAGTGGGGAGACCATCTGCATGCAGCATTAGGGTCTCCTTAAGAAGCTTAAGGAGCCATGGGGGCATGGGGCTATGAGCCCAAATCAGTGTATCACAGGGTGACAGTGCTGCAGGAGGCTATAATCTGCCTCTTTTGGCGCCAGGCATTCCAGCGGGGTCACTGCTTAGTCTTGGGGAGTGTTAGAAAGGGAGATGAGGCATGATGAAGAGGGGTGGTCCCTGTAAGTAAAGGAGAGAAAGGAGTATAAGTCGCCTCCTTATCCTTTGTTCCTCTTCAGATGCATAGGACCAGAAGCAATGTACCCTAACAAAGGCAGATAGGAAGCCAGGAAGTCACAGCTCCCTACTGAGAAGCCGGGCTGCCTCAAGGCCTGATGTGGAGCGTACTGAAGCTGCAGGTGGTTTAATTCAAAAGTTAATGGTTGAATCTAGAAATATGTCACGACTCCCAGAACAGCATGAAGTTCTTCACCTGTTACTCTCTAAATGTACTCATTAGTCCTCATTACTTCCAGTACATATCCTGTTACATGGTTAACTTTGGGGGTCTGCACTGCTGTGTGCAATGTGACCTTCACACCAGGGACCCACTGTCCTCTTATACAGTGTGTCAGTCAGTCTCCCTGAGTGGCACACTGCCCCCTGGTGCAAGGATATTGCTCCAGATGAGCTTTTTAATGACATCTGACATGTTTTATTTCCAGATAATTTACATTTTTAATCTGGCCTTCTCCTGTTTTCTTAATAATAATAATTTTCCTGCTCATTACCCTTCTTTTCTTTGTCCTGGTGCATGACAAACAGAGACAAAGAGACAGCATCGGAGCCACATTGCTCATACAATCACAAATTCACAGCTGTCAAAATGAAAACTGAATTGCATTTATATTGTCAGAGGCCAATGATGGTAAGAGGATGACTAGTCAAGTAACACCGATGGCGTCATCCATCTGTTGTACTAATGTTAGTGTCAGTATTTTTTTTACATTGTCATAGACATTACATTGTCCGTTTTTTTCCCCCGTTAAAGGGGTTTTTTGGGGGAGTTTTTCCTTATCCGCTGTGAGGGTCCAAAGGACAGAGGGATGTCGTATGCTGTAAAGCCCTGTGAGACAAATTGTGATTTGTGATATTGGGCTTTATAAATAAAATTGATTGAAATTGATTGATAGAGGTATTAAATCAATTATACATTTTAGCACTGAAGTGATAGAGTAGTTAGTGGTGGTGCTTGGTGCTGTGCTGGATTGCATTATATTCTAAAGCTTCCCCCTGAAAGCTGAAAATCTGACTCATCAGTTGCAGGCCCTTCAGTCAATACAGATTTTTTAAGTTGAGCTGTCTTTTTTTTTCACCAGTCAGTGTGCAGTGTACTTCTGGGGACGTTTCGGTCCACAGATTTAGCTTCAGAGTGACACTCCTAGCTTTCACGCTGCTCTCCAGTACAGACAGACATGGACCCAGACCCAGTCTGAGTGAGACGTAGGCAGCTGCCTGGTGGAGGACAGGCTTTGCCCAGGTCAGCCTCCAAAATCACATTATCATCTGCCTTTTGCTATGAAGTGGTAAATTTAAGGGCTGCCCCCTCATTGTCAACCAAACATTAGTCGACCACAAAGGTCATTAGTCAGCAAGATTTCATTGGTTGCTTAGTCACAAAAGAAATGACTGGACCATGTGGGAATTTAATTTGAAAGGACAGACACAGGAAGAGGCCACGCTCAGCAGTCAAACAGGAGTCATGTTACAAACCAACCACAGCCGACAGATATCTTTCCCTTCTTCTGTAAATATTCAGTCTGATAAATACAGAAAAGTAGATCATGTTAGTGCAGGGCTACCCAGAGCTTTACATCTGTCACATGGACAATAGGTCTACATACTTATAAACAGCGCCTGGAAGAAGCACTCAGGATTTCAGGCAAATAGGCTATATGATGCTGGTTAAGGTTCCTAAGCAACCTCAGACGCAACCTGCTGCAGTTGTACAGCTAATAATTTCCAGGGCTGGTACCTGCGGTTATTCCACAGGCTAGTTAATAACATGTCGGGCAGGAAATCCAAAGTGTGGGATCATTTTGAGAAGTTGAAGAACGAACCCAAGGTGATATGTAAACTCATCTTCATTGGTCGACTACGAACATGACGTGTCATCTGAAACATGGAAGTAGCT